AAAAAGAATCCCTGCCCCCCCCCCCCCCAATATTTCTTATTCAAGTAGTATTTACATAGTAAAGCGTTTACATTAAAAAAGCATGGATTAGTAAAATAAAAAAATAAAAGCTAGTTTAAATCTATTAGTTTTCATTATTTAAACTTTTACTTTGTCTTGTTTTAAGTTTTCATTTTATTTAATGTATTTTAAAATTATAATTTAATGTAATGTAAAAATACTCCAATAATGGATATACAAAACAAGCTAAAAAGATTAAAAAAAAAAATTTTCAATATTTTATTAATATGATATTTTTAAGTATTATAAGTATTTTTATGCCTTTTAATGCATGTTATTATATAAATAGTATTTCAATATATATATATTTTATATGAATTTACTATAAATCATCTCACCTCGATCAAACTTTTTCCCATCTGGATCAATATCCTTCACATCAAAGATATCCTCAAACAGAATTCCAGCCATTTACACACGAACTGAACTCGAAACGGAAAAGTCCTCAATTGGTGATGTATTTATCCTGGTAACAACCAAAAAAGAGATTAATATTTCACATAAAACTATGTTTAGCTTTAAAAACATAAATATTATGTCGATAAAGTCTCATTCTGACAGTATTCTAACAGTTAGCAATAGTATCAGGTACAGTAGTACATCGCCAATTAAATAAACGATTTGTGCAAATATTACATACTTTCTCCACATACAATGAGCGCAAGATCGTTCCAGTTAAAAATAGGAAATATCAACTGTGCAAGAAAACAACTTTCTTCTCATTCAACACAAATATGAAACATGCCGCGAAACAATGTGCTTCACTTCTGGCCACGTGATTTACTACTACATCCGGGTCATGGCTCGCGTTTACGGCGGTGGATCTGTTGTCATATTTAAACTGCAAACCGGCTATCACGCCAGCTAACCTAACTATGTAACTATAAATGATATAAGTTACCTGTTTATGCAGCGCATTATTATTTACGAATAAACACGTGCAGTGTTTTTAGCAGCATACGCTTAGTTTATTTCTGCATAACCAGATTGTTTTGCTTCGAGCTGAAGAAGAAAGAAGATAAAACGGCTCTCAAGTGACTTATCTGTAAAGCAAATTAAGTGTTTTGTTGGCTTTGTGTCGATTTCTTCACGGATTATATGCAGCCTAATGCTGTTAACAAGTGATATTTAGTACTTAGCAGAGACATCATCATCTTGAGGTCTGATATTTTCTGTAACAGTATCCCAGTTTTAAAATTAATGTTTTTTTTGTGTGTTTTTTTTAGATTGTGGATCAATGAGCTCCAGAAAATCTGAGAAGATGGGTGAGGATCTGGCAAGTGAAAGTGATCTGCTGTCAGTGATCAACGAGGTGGGCTTACATACCACTCTTATTATTTGATTTAAAAAACATATTTATCAGGTATAGACATACAGTGACATAGTATGTAACAATTGACAGTATCTGAAGTTAGCCGAGTTTGAAGAGACTGTGAAAGTGTTTGAAAAGGAAGTCAGACGCAAAGGAAAACCTGTCCTCAAAAGTGCAGGACATTCACGGCGAGACTCCAAAACCATCGGCATTCACGTGAGACTGCTTTCTGATCTCATTTATTCAAAAATAACATACACTTTCAAATTGCAGTGTTTTTCTATTACATTAGCGTGCTTTAAAGGGGTCATATGATGCGATTTCAAGTTTTCCTTTCTCTTTGGAGTGTTACAAGCTGATTGTGCATAGATAAGATCCCTGAAGTTGCAAAGACTAAAGTCTCAAAACCAAAGAGATATTCTTTATCAAAGTCTATTTTAAAATTGTAGAAACTTTTGCGCTTTTTCATAAGAAAGTCCGAAAAAAGTTTGCCAATTTGATATTTATATGTACAATTTTTACAAAACAGAATCAGTGTTGTAAAGTATTTCACAGATTAGCTTGCTTTAGAATAATCTTATTATAAACATATCAGATAAAGTTTCCCCCTATTTTGTTAATGTTATTAGCCAGAATTCTGAAATGTTCCGAACTTTTGCACTTTTTCATAAGAAGTTGTCATTTTAATAAATTTGATATATACAGTATTTTTAAATACATAATCAGTGTACCCAACACGGCTTATTAACATCGTGCAAAGCATTTTAGATTTTTTCTAAAAAGTTTAGAAGTTTAAATATCAGAAATATGTTAACACATACGATGTATTTATAATTTATATATAATCTGCAATATATTAATATTTAAATAATAATAATAAAAGAAAACTTTTGCTGGATGTTCAGATAAAAGCTCTGTAATTACCGAACTGCTCAGTATTTGGACATTTTATTTTAATTATAAAAAAAAAGACTGAAAAGTGAAAAGCAACTAAAATGTACAGTTTTTATCAAATACTTGATATTAATGATTTATGTTATATTTATACATGTTTATGTTATATTTGTATAATTTTAGCTTTCATGTCCTGAAAATATTGCTGTCATTACGTCATGGCAAGCATTTTTGAAAAAAAAAAATACTAATATGTCAGGAATTTTTTTTAAAATGTATTTACTTATTTATTTATTTATTTACAAACCGCTCCGTATTTGTATTTTTTTTAATAATGATAATAATAATAATAATATATTTAAAAATAAAAAGCAACTTAAAAGTTAATTCATTACTTAATAGCTCGTTTTTTTCCTCCCAATAGGAGGATTTTCTCAGCTCTTTTAATGATGGCGACTATAAGGTATTCTCTGAGCTGTGGGCTAAAACCATTCCTCCGGAGATTCGGGATTTTGATCCGGTAGCTCAGAAACTGGAATTCTACTTACAAATTCATTTTACCATATACCCACTGAAATCACCTGTAGGAAGTCACGTAAGTACATTTTACTGTTGGGAATAGTAATGAAATGAGCATTTTTAAATGTACCGAATAGACAAATCTACAATGCATATATTCTGTTTGACCAGCAGATGTCCTCATAAAGTAAAATATTCAAGCAAACCTCTCCTTCGGTCAAATACATGACTTGAATCAGTATTTGAATGAGATGGTATTAGATTTCAGTCAAGATGCAAATCATTTTTTGTTAAATGTAAAAATATGTTTGTGTAATACAGGATAAAGGAGAGTTTGACAACAGGATCACACATTTCAAACACTATCTGGAGACTAGAGGGGCGGCACTGAGCCAGACCACCGAGTTCCTGCCGTTCTACGCTCTGCCGTTTGTGCCCAATCCCACGGTACACCCGTCCTTCCAGGAGCTTTTCCAGGTACAACACGCATAACAGTCACCAAAACACCAGCTGATTAAAATCATGACAAAACAATCTGAGGTTAGTTCTTAGAAAAGCATACACTAGGATGCGTTTTCGTATAGGTGCATGATACTGTAGCTATGTACACTGAGCACTTGCTTGATGCAGAGGAGTTTTTAAAGTGTTGTTTTTACTGGATCATAGGATTCCTGGATACCAGAGTTGAGGGAAAGGCTGGAGAAGTTTCTCTCAGTGACTCTGAAAGCTTCAAACACACCGAGGCTTCTGACTTTATATGTATCCTTTTTGTGTTTATTGTAGGGGTGTAACGCTACACGTATTTGTACCGAATATTTTCGGTATGGGTCTTTCGGTTTGGTACGCACATGTACCGAACAAATCATTAAAAAAAATTTTCAGGAAATTCAGACAAAAAATAAATGCCTTCAGTTCTGACGGCATCCCTTCCTCTTTACATCTAGTTTTAACGCAAAAAAAACATCTCATGCCTCGTGTAATCGCACAATCAGTGTTTCACTCGTAGAAAGATGCGATTAAAACGGCTTGTGAACGAAATGTCGCTAGTTCAGAGAAATGAAGTCTAGAGAAGAGCATTTCGCGAAATATTAGACTATATACTCATTATATTTTACTTTACCTGTTAGTGATGTCTTATTTTTGTAATGATTATTTAAATAAATATTTTATGAAGCAAGTTATGACAGCCACTGTGTTAATGATTATATTTCAACAACAGATAGAAATTGTATAATTTAGAAGTTAATTTACATGTTTGCATACAAGTTTTTAATTTGAGTGTTGATTATTACAGTTAAAAATAAATAATAATTAAATTAAAGTGTGGGCTCTGTTAATTGTAGCCTTATGGCAATGTAAAAGGGCTCCCTATAGTTTAGAGCAGAAGCTGAGGTCGATTTTTAGGCATATAGATTTTTTTAATTTTTATTTTATGAGGTAGATTTAAAGAAAATTATAATTGAATTTATTTAAAGAAAGAGCAATTTGTTCAGTAAAACATTGTTTAATTAAAAAACAAATAATATATATGTATGTATATGTTTAGTATTTTTTCCTCCTGCTGTCATCAATCATACTGAACCGTGACGTCAAAACCGAGGTACATAACGAACCGTCGTGTTTGTGAACCGTTACACCCCTAGTATATTGTGAGGCATTTTCTACAGTATATCGTAATTTTTAAATTATGATTTACAAGCCTGTAAAACCCTTAGAAATGATCATTAATAGTAATGAATAGTAATTGTAAAATAAAAGTAATGAATAGAAATGAAAAATAAATAAATAGTAATGAAATATAAAATAAAACCACTTCAGTTATTGTATTATACAACAAAAAAAGGAAAAAAAGTGCAAATAATTGTTTATATATATATATATATATATATATATATAGAGAGATTGATATACATATAGAAATAAACGAAATGGAACAAAATGGGATAAAGATAAAAATCCTCAGAAAGTATAAGATAAAAATAAAGATAAAAATCCTCAGACATTTTCACTTTAATTACTTTGCCCAAGCATGTTGTCAAATAACGTGTACATTCATCAAACTTTGTCTATGCCAAAAATTGTAAAAAGATGTTTTCAGTGGACTTTCAAAATTTGAAACATGAGAAACATGAAAATACGCAGCTACATTAAAAAAAAATTTTTTTTTATTTAATGTAGTTGAGTTATCCAGTTACCAAAGTAATTCTTTCAAATGATGGGCTGGGGATTCAGGAGTAAAGCTACTTCCTCTATACATCTCTATATGAGGAAGCAGCTTTACTCACTCCTGAATCCTCAGTCACATTGCAAATCATCATGACAAATTTCTGTGGGTAATAATAAATTTTTTTTTTTTATCTAAAACAAGATTTTTCAATGAGAATGATTCACTTTTATTGATTCATGAAACATTATTCATCTCATTACAGATGCTTCTGTAATTGGCTTTTCTTTGGTACACATTTCAGATCTATAAAAAAATAGATCTTAGATCTAATTAACAAGTGGTGGAAATAATGGTGCTGTAACTTTAAATTCTGCACAACTTAGATTTTACTTTCAACTTTAAAACCTAGGTTTATTTTTTTTTTTACATGAAATCTTTATCCTTCCCATATATCCTGAGAATATATTTTAGCAACCAAAGCAATTTATTTCAGCAATTTCATGCAAATGGAAATAAGAACATCATGCATAGGCCAAATCTTTTTTTTTTTTCACAATAATTCCGTCATTGTTTTCTTAATATTAATACATTATTTTGTGTATAATAATAGATGTATTATTTACAGAATAATTTATTAATAATGATAGATTAAATCATGTTTTTACAGCTTTAATATATATTTTTTGTACAAGGAATTAAATCGTAATTAAAGAGTTGAAAAACTGCACAACATTTCAAGTTGTAACTTCTGCAAAACTTGGATTTTACTTAAAATTTAAAACTGTAGTTTTTATTGTTTATTTTTTTATCCTACACCCCAGGCCACTGCATTACTCATTCCTGGTTCAAGTCCAACATGTTTAAGGAGCCGTTGCAAAGCCCAATTTTCCAGCCCAGAACCAT